CACTTCCAGCTATTCGGAGATGCGGGAACGTTATTTCACTTATGTCATTTCTGCTTTCCAGAGTCCCTGTTTCGTTTGTCCTTCTGCCTGACAAGGAATCAGAGCAAATTACAGCTGTAGCCAGCTGCACATCTCTAATCCAGGTTATGCCAACAGTATCCCCAGTAGTGCAGCCGCCAGGATGGTCACATAAGTCGATCGCCTTTTAGATTTCTGGACACCAAGGCTAGGAACACAGATGACTGTTCCCGCTCTACCCGTCCTGTTATCTCTGCGTCCATCTCTTCAGACGTCAGCCCCCTTCTGCTACAAACTTCCTTTCTTTATACCACCAGCCTGCTCCAGCCCAGCTGGGCTTCAGGATGAATTAAGACTGGGTCTCCTTCCAGGGGCAGCCAGGTAACATATTTGGCCTCCCAGGCCCATATGAACCACTCCAGGGCCTGTGTGGAGCACTCAACCCATCACACCCCTTCATTCTCTTCCTGCAGATCCCCCCGCACACCTCCTTTTGCTCTGATACCTGCAGTTCAGCTGCCAGTGCACTGAGCCCGCTGCCGATCACGCTGCCCAATAGTGTCTCCTTATCTGCTGCCTGTTGTCTTAGACGTAGGTTGTCAGCTCAGAGTCAGGACAGTCGTTTTGTTCAGTGGGGTCCTGGACCATGACTTCGGCTCCTGAGCACTACCGTAATACACCTAATAGATCATGTACAGCGCCTAGCACAGTGGAGTTCTGGTCCATGAGTCAGGTGCCTGAGCACTACCGTAATACACCTAATAGATAATAATTATTATAATGAATAATAATGTAAGCAGAGTCAGGATGAGGTCTACCCCAACATTTGGTGGTGAGCTGTGGAAAAGGACTTCAGGGGCTGATCTCGTTTGCATGGGCACACCCACCCTGCCTAGCATGAAGGGACTGCTTGCCCAAATGGTCACTCTGGCTGCTGTGGGACCCCCAGTCTCTTTGTTTTCGGGGCAGGAGTAATAAAGTGTTGTTATCCTGGTTATGGAATCAAGGACGGTAGACTTGTACTTGGCATTTTATGACGGACGCCCTCAACTAAGTAGCTTTCAGTAGGCAGGGGACATGGGTTCCAAAGGCTAGTGAATGGGGAGAGGTATTGTGAGTAGTGTTGGTTGCCTGTGAAGGTTCTAAACATCACTTTGATCTTTCTTTTTCTCAACTGTATAATAGCAGAGCTAATTTTGACTCTCTATAAGGAGTCTTATTACATGTTGCAGAGCTCAAATCACTGATTACTAGGTGTAAGCATTAGACTTACTTTGGGCGAGTGGTTCTGAGTGCAACATTAGGGCCTCCCTGCTAACAGCTGAAGTCAGTAAAGAGCTGACCTTACTAAGAGCTGAAATCACCGAGAGCTGTGTTAAGTGTGTGGGGGGGCTGAAGGCACATTTGTGAGCGGCTAGCAGGACGGCTAGCGGAGTGGTAGGGCTAGCAGGACGGCTGGTGGTGAAGACTGCAGCAGAACCCCGTGGAGAGGTGTGGTAATTGGCCATTGACTGGAGCAGGTAAGTTGCCCCCATACCTTCCCCCCACTTCTACCCAGGCTGGGAGGTAAACTCTGCAGATGAGCTTGTGAACTCTGAGGTTGCACTGAGCAAGGACAGAAACTGTGGGAGGGGTGACTGTTGGGTTGCTGGACTTGAGACCCTGAGGGAAAAAGGACACTGTTTTGAGTCGGTTTTGCATTGCGTTATTGAAACAGAACCCCTAGATACTGAACCTGGCCCTTGTTGCTGCCAACTCTGGCGGGCAGAAGGGTTACAATAATATACACCCTTTCTGATGGACACATCGCTGCTGCTCCACCTCAGACAATGAGCCCCAGCAGCCTGAATCGTATCTCTGCAAATGCAAATTTGTGGCAAAACTTCAGTGCTCTGGTCAGATCCCAGCTGGGGTCAATTGGCCATCGCTCCATTGGGGTCAATGGGGAGCCTCCAATCTGAAAGTCAGGAAACAGGCTCCACAGCTTTTAATCTGGCCAGACAACAAGGGGACCCCGAAGGGACACGAATCCTACTGCAGGGCTCACCCCAGGCACGGCTGAGCACCCCGACCACCAGTGAAATCGGGGGGAGATGCGGGAGCCCATCTCCCACCTGGAGACGTTGGGAACCCTCAGAACGGTTAGGCCAGCTGGTGTCGGTGCACTGGCTGGTCTCATTCATGCCCGGGTCTAGCCCACGAGTCTGGTGTTTGTCTTGCAGATGAATGTGGGTTCACTCCTCTTCCCAGTCCATGCTGCTTCCCCTCTTGATTCTCCACTTTGCCGTGGCAGGTGAGTGACATCGGGGCCCCAGTAATGGGGGGAGAGTGGCGTGTTTATACAGAGAGAGATTGTGGAGCTTGGGGAATGGGATGCTATAGGGGTAGGGACTGTCTCTCGCTGTGTCTGGGCAGCGCCTGACACAATGGGGCCCTGATCTCAGCTGGGGCAGGGACAGTCTCTCGCTGTGTCTGGGCAGTGCCTGGCAAGATGGGGCCCAGATCTCACTTGGACTCCAGATGCTCCTGTGACATAAATAATAAATTACATCCATAATGCTACATTAGAGAACATTGTTAAGCTTGCAAAGTCGCACTCAAGGGGTATGAAATGCCAGAGTTAAGGTCACCCCGTGCAGCCATATCTCTGCCCCTTTGTGCATCTGAATCATGACACAGCCTTTAATGGCAGGATAAAGCACTGCCACTGGCCCCCTGCCTCATTCCACGCACACGGTGACATGCTCACTTAATGGGCAGCTATTCAATACTTGGTTTAATCCTCCCTGGGCCAGGTGTGGCCCCAGGCCTGTTCCACTGCCGGCTATTGGAAGGCTGGAGACAGGATTGTTTACTTCCTCGTGGGCTTTTCTGTGGCGTTTCCTCACTGTAGCATCTCATTCCTTCGTTCACGGCATCTTCCCAACACACCAGCAAGGTGCGGGGGTGGTGTCATTATCCACATTTTACAGCTCAGGCCCTGGGAGATCACGGTGCACCGCTTTGGGGGCCCTCGTGTGAGACGCCGGAAGCTGAGTTTGCAGAGTACTTAGCACTGCTGTTTTGGCCTGAGTGGCTCGCCGAGCTCCAGGGCCTGGCAGGGTCGTTCCCGTGAAGGGGAAGCGATAGTGTGAGTGAGCTTTGTTCTCAGTGGACTCTCATTCCTTCCCAGGTAGCATCCCCCCCGTCCTGTTCCCCGGAGCACAGAAGAAACAAACAGCAGGAAGCTGTTCCCTGGCTCTGAAATCCCCACGCCTGCCCCTCCAGTGAGCCCTGTGCTCACACAGCTCTGTCTCTCTGCTTCCTCCCATGGTCCTGCTGGCAACTCCTGGCTTCCTGCCTGCCATACACACAGCCATGCACAATCTCCTCACCCCTGTGTTTGCACCCAGGGAAACGTCTCAGCCCACACTGCTTCGCTCTGAGCCTCCATGGGCCTTGCGCGGTAACTTCCTTTGCATGCAACTCTCTCTGCACCGTATACACCTGAGGGAATTCTGCGCCACTATGCATGCGCAGAATTAATGTCTGGTGCAGAATATCCCCCTCCCCCCCCGAAAATACATTCTGCTTGAGAAGCGCTGCAGTTCCACCTTTCACCCACCAGAAGCTGCTGTGGCGCCAGAACCGCCAGCAGCAGGAACGCAGCCGGCTGTTCAGAATGTATTTTCTGTGTGTGTGTGGGGGAAATTCTGTGCGTGTGCAGTGGTGCAGAATTCCCCCAGGAGTAACCATAGCAGGGCTTGATTGCTCCTTCCACTGAGCCTGAAGTAGGGAGCTTGGGGCAGCCACTGGCTTTGACCAGTGATTATCTTTGGATCAAATACTCCACTGAGAGCAGCTGTCAGCACGTTCCACATAACAATATGTTCAAAGCACAGGTCCTGTTGACTTCAATTGCAGCTGTGAGCTCTCAGCCCTTCTACAGATCAGGCCCCAGGCTCTCAAGTCAGGCATACAGAAAATCAGGAATGTGCAGTTATTGTCCAGCTGTGAAAATTTTGGTATAAGTGACATGCCCAGCATCACAGAGGAACTCGGTGGCAGAGGCAGGGATAGACTGCAGCTCTCTAGGGCAGCAACCAAACCATGAGACCCTCTTCCTGCAGTCTCCTACCCTGTTCATTAAACACCTCCCAACTTCTGCAAAAAAACGAGGCAGGGGTGCTACAGATGACTCTCCTTCACTACACACCCGATTGATCCCCAGAGCAGGTCTCTCCCATGCATTGAATGAGGGGCAGCCAGCACCGCAGACCTTCCATTGCTTTGTGTTCCAGCCCCGTACTCGGAGGCCTGACTGGAGGTTAGTGTGAACAGCTGGGTGACCCTGACCTGTTGTGCCAGGAGCGGGTACCCCGAGGCCTCAATCCTGTGGCTGGGCGGAGCTTGGAACAACATGCTGGTGGAGAGCGACACCAGCCTGTGGAGAGACCCCAGCAGGCTCTGTGACGTGAGCAGCCAAATCCTCCTGCCCAGGGCAGGGGGCAACAACTACACCTGGGGCTCTGGGGAAAAAACAGCATGTGATTAAAGATTATCTAATAAAAGGACAGAGTTAAGGTTACACGGGCAACCTTAATACAGGCATTTCCTAACTTCTGAGGGCTGAACTTTGCATCCGTAACATCTTTGAATGTAGCTGTTTTGTGTGTAATAATAGTTACTGGTGAAAAAAGCACAAGGAGGTTTGGAAGGGGTCTAGCACTTCAGCTTCATGGCATCTCACCAGCCACTCACAGATTGGGGTCAGGAAGGAAATTCCTCCTCTGAGCAAGTAATAACTGCCCACTGCAGGGTCATATGCCTCCTCTGAAGCATGGGGATAGGATGTCGGTCTATATGGCCCTTGGGTCTGCACCAATCCAGCCTTCTCGTCATGCAGCGCCCCCTGCTGCGAGAGGCCAGGATTGGAGTAGCTTGTATTTGTCACACACACACACAAGGAACCCACTGACTCCTGTGCTTTTTGCTCTGCACAGAAACCTCAGCACCAGATGTTGTAGCTCAGTTTGGGGGAGACGTCACCCTGAGCTGCCTCTTCCCGTCCCCGCCCGGGATGAACCTCCAGCGCCTGACCCTCACCTGGCAGAAGGAACGGGCGGGGGCAGGGGACCTGGTAGTTCATAGTTACTATTACGGGAAGGAGCAGCTGGAGAGACAGGACGAGGCTTATAGGAACCGGACCCAGCTGGATCCAGAGGGGCTGGCCCAGGGGAACGCGTCCCTGACACTGAGGGGCGTCCGCATCCAGGACGAGGGCGTCTATCTCTGCCACATCACCTCGGAGCAGGGCAAGATTTCAGAAAGGAGACAGGTTAAAGTGATGGGTAAGCAGGCATCTCCTGGGGAGTGTGAGGCGCCATCCCAGCCCCATTGAAATCAGTGGCCAAACTGCCTGTGACTCCCCTGGGGCCGGGCAGCCAGCGCCACAGACCTTCCATTGCTTTGTGTTCCAGCCCCGTACTCGGAGGCCCGACTGGAGGTTAGCGTGAGCAGCCAGGTAACCCTGACCTGCTGTGCAGAGGGCGGGTACCCTGAGGCCTCCGTGCTGTGGCTGGACGGAGCCGGGAACAACGTGACGGCAGAGAGCGACACCAGGCTGCAGAGAGACCCCAGTGGGCTCTGTGATGTGAGCAGCCGAATCCTCCTGCCCAGGGGAGAAAGCGGCAACTACACCTGCCTCTTGGAGAGCCCCGGACAGCCCCGCATCATCCGACACTTGAGCGTCTCCTGCAGCCCAGGTACCCGGGCTGGAGAGGGCCCTGGTGCACACGCCGATGGGCTCACTCAGACCTGCCGACTGCCCGGCGTGTGCCTGTCGTCTGTGGCTTTTTGGCCCCTTCTCCAGGCGATCCTCCCTCCCCTGCGCTCTATGGCGAAATCCCCATCTGATTGGCCGCCTTCCTCACTCCTCCCCCCTCTTGGGGGGGAAGGGCAGCCAATCGGAGCTGCCTGATCCCTCCACATATTCTTAGGCCAGAAGGGATCCTGTGAGCACCTAGTGCGACCCCTGCAGTCCCCCGGCCATGGGACTGCCCTGAATTAATTCCTGTTTGAACCAGGGCAGGAGGCAGAGGTGTGGGGGGCAGTGGGTGGGTCCAAAGCAGAGGTGGGGGGGAGCACAAGCCACAGATCTCCCAGCTCACCCCCATGTTCTCTTTCTACAGATAACTGTACTAACAACCTGTGCCTGCTTATCGCCCTGCCCCTGACAGTGCTGCTGGGTGTTCTGGGAATTGCCTGGTGCTTCCTAAGGCGTCGGTTCTCGCGGCGTTCGCTGCAAACATAGTGTGACCCAGGTAATGTGAGCTGCTTCTCTGTGTCTCTGTCCCCCCTCTGTCCGGGTGTACGTCCTTTGAGGCAGGGCCTGTCTCTCGTAACAGGACGCTCGTGCGAGGCTGTAGAGAAACAACAGTCCTTAATAGAGACTGGGGCTCTGGTTCAGGGTGTGTTAGGTGTCATCTACTGATGGTCTCTATAATAACCTACTACAGTTCCAAAGTGACTCCTTTATTTTCTTACATGGAGTGAAGTGCTAATTGGACTGACTGCTTTAGCTCCACACACAGGAAAACAGCCTTCTACTGTTGCCAGCTAGTGGAGTGACTCCTTTAGCTCCACCTAGAATATAAGTGTGCTAGCTAGATGTCCATGAGCCCCTGTGAAATCCCGGGTGCCTCTATCTCTTTGAAAGACGCATTTTCTTTCTGCTCAGATAAATCCAGAGCTGCTAAAATCCATCTATGGGGAGCGCTCAGGTTTTGCTCCCTGTGTTGGGCGGCCGTATGACTTGATGAGCCTGCACATGTCCCAGTAGCCACAGTCCTTTGGCAAGTGTCCTGTTCATGTCGGACGTCTTCCAGGATAGTCCTGGCTTCCTAACTCCCAGCAAGGCGGGTACGATGCCTCCCATGTAACAAGGGTCACACGCACACGCGCACACACACACACACACACGCAAAACTTTTCAGCCAAAACTTTTTTTCCAGTGAAACCCACGGCTTCAGCAGCTGTCCGAGGTTTTGTGAACTCCGGCCGGTTTTGCTGACTTGTTTGTTTCAGGAAGAAAAATAAAAAAATGGAAATGTCCCCGTCTTTTTGGTTCACAACAACTTTCCCTTTCAAACCTTCCTTGTAGAAAGCCCAGGTCCAAAACCAGCCCCAAGGAAACACTTTGAGTTTGTCTGAAGGTTTTAGACCCCAAACTATTTGTTTTTTAACTTTTTGCAGAAAATTTCAGAACCGTTCGGTTCCCCCCCAAACTTGTCGAAATCGCCAAAGAACCAAAAAACCCGTTATTTGTCCAGCTCTGCCTCTGTATGGGCCACTTAACCCTTAGAGCACCGGGGAATATTGTACTGAGCCCCGGTAAGCTGCACTGAGGACCGGAAGCCAGCTGGCCCTGTGCTGCGCTCTCGATCTCTCTTAGCAATGGAGCAGGGCTGTCTGTTGGGAAGGAGATTGCGTGGGTCCCGTTTGCAGTTGCTCTGCAGCCATTTTATGCCAGCTAAGCTGCTGCCCGTGTCCGCTCCCCTGGGGACTGCCCTGATCTGCACCAGCCATGCACCCTCCCCCGGTGTAGGGAGCAAGGGGATATGAGGGGGTTTGCATGGCAGGGAAGGGGCATGACCAGGGTGATTCTGCTCCCCTGCAAAGCCTCATAGGACCTGCTGAAGTAGGGAAGGGCAACTTGGAGCAGCCTTCGCAGTTGCTGTAGTCTGCAACAGGGTTACCCCTGCTCTGGGGCCCTGCACTGGGGTGAAGCTGGTGTCCCTAGAGGAGTCAGAGTGGATGTGATGGTGGTGACGCTGGAGGTAGGATTAGAAATTCAGCCCTCTGCTAAATGGGACTGAGCCCCCCCCATCTTGGCCCGCCACCCGGCTATTCCCTTCACATCACTTTAATACCTAGATCTTTTGTGGTTTCTCTTGAACAGGGTCGTTTCTGTGCCCCGGGGCCGTTTTGATCCGTGCGGGTGCCCCCAGCGACGTGGCAGCTAATGGAAACTAAAGTGCGGGGACGTTACAATAAATGGACCTGTTTTCAGTGTAAAGCGACGTCTCTTCTTCACTGTGTGCGCTGACACAAATCCACAACCCCAGGCAGGCTCGACGTTGGGCCGCTGTAAACCTGCACAGCCCACCCGGCTGCAGCGAGTGACGCCAGCTGGGGATCTGCCCCCATTGGCTCCAGGAGAACGATGGCCGATCGAGGCCCACTGGGATCTGGCTCTGTTGAGTATATAAATCACACACGCAGGAGGAGGTGGGACTTGTACCGTGTCCTTCAGCTTCATATGCTAAGGATTCTTGCCGGCAAGTTAAAGAAGTATGGGCTGGATGAATGGACTATAAGGTGGATAGAAAGCTGGCTAGATCGTCGGGCTCAACGGGTAGTGATCAATGGCTCCATGTCTAGTTGGCAGCCGGTTTCAAGTGGAGTGCCCCAGGGGTCGGTCCTGGGGCCGGTTTTGTTCAATATCTTCATTAATGATCTGGAGAATAGCGTGGACTGCAGCTTCAGCAAGTTTGCAGATGACACTAAGCTGGGAGGAGTGGTAGATATGCTGGAGGGTAGGGATAGAATACAGAGGGATCTAGACAAATTGGAGGATTGGACCAAAAGAAATCTGATGAAGTTCAACAAGGACAAGGGCAGAGTCCTGCACTTAGGATGGAAGAATCCCATGCACTGCTACAGACTAGGGATCGAATGGCTAGGGAGCAGTTCTGCAGAAAAGGACCTAGGGGTTACAGTGCATGAGAAGCTGGATATGAGTCGACAGTGTGCCCTTGTTGCCAAGAAGGCTAACGGCATTTTGGGCTGTATAAGTAGGGGCATTGCCAGCAGATCGAGGGACGTGATCGTTCTCCTCTATTTGACATTGGTGAGGCCTCATCTGGAGTACTGTGTCCAGTTTTGGGCCCCACACTACAAGAAGGATGTGGAAAAATTGGAAAGAGTCCAGCGGAGGGCAACAAAAGTGATTAGGGGTCTGGAGCACATGACTTATGAGGAGAGGCTGAGGGAACTGGGATTGTTTAGTCTGCAGAAGAGAAGAATGAGGGGGGATTTGATAGCTGCTTTCAACTACCTGAAAGAGGGTTCCAAAGTGGATGGATCTAGACTGTTCTCAGTGGTACCAGATGACAGAACAAGGAGCAATGGTCTCAAGTTGCAGTGGGGGAGGTTTAGGTTGGATATTAGGAAAAACTATTTCCCTAGGAGGGTGGTGAAGCACTGGAATGGGTTACCTAGGGAGGTGTTGGAATCTTCTTCCTTAGAGGTTTTTAAGGCCTGGCTTGACAAAGCCCTGGCTGGGATGATTTAGTTGGGAATTGGTCCTGCTTTGAGCAGGGGGTTGGACTTGATGACCTCCTGAGGTCCCTTCCAACCCTGATATTCTATGATTCGACCTCGGGAGCGGAGAGGGAACTCCCTCAGCTGGTACTAGTAGTAGTACACTTATAGTCTCTGAGGAGCAGCCAGCGGAGGTCAGTATGGTCACTACACACAGAGCAGCTCTGACCAGAGAGCACTGGGTGTGTGTCTGTGTCACAGACACGGGGTTATGTAGGGTGGAGCCGTTGGGTCTCTGAGACACCTCCCATAGGATCAGGGATTCACCTGCCCGTCTCGCAGCTGGGCCTGCTGGGGAGCTGGGTGATGCCTGATTGTCACGGTTCAGGGCAACTGCCCCTGTATCTCCCCTCACTGATCCAGCACGGCACCCGCCCCACTCGGCTCCCAGCTCCCGCCTTTCTGCCTGGAGACCCGCGTCTCTCTCCCTTCGGAGTGGGGGAGTCCTGGGCTGTTCCGTTTCCCAGCACAGACAGGCTGCCTGGGGCAGGATTCCTGGGGGACTCGACCCCCAACCTTGTCATGGTCACGTAGGACAGGGACTAGGGTGTCCCCATTCCAGGGTGCTCTCTCCGCTCTGGACACTTCCCTGACCCATTGATCGTTACATACAGTTCAAAGCAAATACAATTGATGAAACAGCAACCAATTAAAAAATTAAGGAAATAGGGGAAGGTGAAAGGAAAACTCGTCACCCCGCTCTGTGGCACGGGGACATCACAATCAGCATCTCTGGGATGTAAGGAAAGGTCACAGCCTGTTCCTCACACGTCCCAGGCCCCTGCCCAGGCCCTGGCTGTGCTGATGCTGTGAGCCAGACACTTGCTCTGGCGGTGGCCACATGCCCTCAAGCTCTCGGTGGTAGGACCCTTCTGCCCAGTGTCGCCCCCCCGTCGGGGTTACGATCCCCCTCCAAGTCTGACCTGCCAGACCCCTTGGCTGGGGCAGCTCCCTGTGCTGGGCCCACTGCCCAGGGTCCCCCCCTCGCTCTCCCCAACTGCTTACCACACCCGGCTCTGGACTGCGCCAGCTCCAGCCCCAGCCCCAGCCCCACTCTGCCTCCAGCCCGGCTCCTGGGACTGATCCTCTGTCCCTCTGGCTGCTGCTCTCCTTAGCTCAGCCCCTCTCGCCAGGCACCTCAGGCTCACAGGCTGTCCTGGAGCATTGGCCTCTCCCCATTGGCCCCAGGGACTGTCACTCTCAGGGTCCTGATTTCTCATTCCCCTTTCTTTTGGTGCTGGGAGAGGGCCAACCAACCCCCCCCCCCAAGGGTCAGTGAGGAGCCAACAGCCCCCTGACACCTGTAGGATTCTTCAGGTAAAAGCCTCCTAGAGAGAACATGAAACCTGGTGACAGAACCCACCCGCCAGCTAACAAGCTCCCTGGATCACACCCCCCTGCCCTCCCCACCCACAGCGGCTCCTTTGGGGCTTCGAGTTCGTCCCAGCTGCAGCTCAGAACCAGCCCCAGCCTGATGGGACCTTCGTGGGCTCCATCCTTCCCCCTCCCCAGGGAGCAGTGCCCTCCCTGGGGCAGTGGCCCTGGCTGTTTCTCAGATCAACAGGAGGACCCGAGCCAGGCTAAACTGAGGGCTTTTAGCCAAAAGTAGTTTCTTTGTCTTGGTCTCTGGAGATCCCAGTTGGACTCAGCACTGGTATCTCTGCCCCGGGGCTGGCTTCGAAGGGTAGATACCATAGGAGGGACATTGCCCCCTGCCCCCCCCCGCTCTGCAGGAGGAGGTGCGCACGCTGCCCCAACAACCCTGCACAATTGCCATTTTTAACACAATGAACCCCAAAGCAATTCCCTGAGGCAGAGCTCAATGCAGCAAAGCCTCTCTCACTTCCATAAAGTTTGTTCAGGATCCTGTCAGCCTGGGCGGGGACCCCAGCCCAGGCCCTGCAGCGCTGGATGCCCTGTGGCCGCCCA